ACCAGCTACAGGCCAGATGCTGAGCTCGGCCTGGCACATAAAGATGACTGCATCGTTGTGCCGTCTGCAGGGTCAGATGCTGTGTTTGGGTCAGATGCCTCAGCCCAGGGGCTTTTGGAGAGATGATCCTTCCTGGGGGCCCTTTCAAGCTCCTGGTACTGCAGGAACTTCTGGAAAAGCCTCAAATAGGTGACTTTGGAGGGTGTTGTCAGTGCATTGAGAGGTGTGTGCACAGGATATTGGGGGGCTCAGGAGGACCCCTCACACAGCTGTTGGAGGGGTCAGGGAAGGCTGTCTGCCAAAAAAGAGGGGGACACGCTGGCAAGCATGTGGGGGTTAGGCCTCATGATGTAGGGCAGCAAGAATTGCAAGCTTGTCACTTAGCGAGAGGAGTCAGGAATTAACCACTGAAAGTCGTCTTTTCATTGCCAACTCTTAGCTTTGAACAGGAACATTTGAAGTGACATTGATCTGTGGATTCTGATACAGGAATTGGTCACCAACATTATACGTTAATAGATGCCTTGTCTGGAGTATCCGTTAGAACTTTCTTTTCTCTGCTGTTCTTGTTAAAGGAAGGACAGGCTTGAGTTCCATCTGGATCAGCTGCTAGAATTTAAGGCTAATCTTTAAACTGTTAACCCCTTTCTCCCCAAAGTGTGGTCTGCGGACCAGCTGCATAGGCATCATATGGAGTTTGCTGGACTTGTGAATCTCAATCTCCCCTGACCAGGCCTGCTGAATCAGAATATCCATTTTAACAAGACCCCCAGTGATGTATGCCCACGTTAAAATTTGAGAAGCACACTGCTTTAGCTCCTTCTGAATCTATTAACGGAGAAAAGCCACTCAGGCTGAAGAACTACATCTGGCATCTGAAAGATTCGCCCATGGCTTGGGCAAGACCTGCTTGCTCTGTCTGCTGGGCTTCTCTCCTCCACAGATACCACATTCTCCAAGTCAGTGGCTCCTTTTGTAGGTTTAGTTTCCTAGTCAAGATTTCTCTTAACTATTTGCATAAAGAGGTGCTAAAATTCCAAGAGCTGTAGCAGTAAAACCCAAATTGTTCTTTCTTGGATCCATAGTCCATCTTTCTTTTACTGCCTTGCCCAGGCTAATAATCTGTCAGCACCCGTTCTGTCCTGGGCACCCCCAGAGGAGCCACCAGTAGACAAACCCTAGAGGGCTCCAGGCAGCTGTGTAGGTGGGGGCGTCTGTACCAGACTCTTTTTCTTTGAG